CAGATATGTCAAAAATGGTAATATTGAGGAGGACATTCTTTTCTGTCTCTTCCAGAGCACACAACCGGCGAGGCATTGTTTGAAGTTCTGGATGTATACGGGATGCAGGCATGTCATGGGATAAATATGTTGGGAGTTGCACGGATGGGGCCCGTTCAATGACTGGAAGGATTAGCGGTCACTCTTGTCCAGAATTTAGCTCCTTTAGCCAAGTGGACCCACTGTATGATTTATCGTGAATCTTGTGTCCTGAGGCCGTTTTAAAGCAGGCAGTGCAAATTGTCAATTTCATTCAAGCACGGCTTGTTTTCCTTGCTTTGTCAGGAAATGGGAGCCGAACACGAGCAGCTCCTTTTTCACACTGAGGTTCGCTGGCTCTCCAGAGGTCGGGTTTTACATCGCCTCTACGAATTGCGTTCAGAGGTGAAGACATTTCTTGTTAATGTGAAGTCCGACCTTGCGCGGTACCTGGATGACCCCTGTGGTTAGCGCAGTTGTCGTACCTTGTAGACATTTTCGACAGGTTGAATTCGCTGAACACATCGATGCAAGGGAGAGATGCCAACATCTTGCTCCTTTCAGACAAAGTCAGTGCATTCGTTGGCAAACTGGATCTTTGGCGTGATCGGCTGATTAATAAAAATGTTGACATGTTTCCCAACTTCACCGACTGTGTGCAAGAGACAGGGATAAATCTCCTTTGATTAACAGTTGCTCAACATGTTGAGGGACTAAAACAACAATTCGGCCGTTATTTCACTGAGGAGTTCAGTTCATTTGCTTGGGTCAGAGATCCCTTCAGTTGCCCAGGAAAAGACCTTCCAGTTGACATGGGGGAGCAGTTAGTCGAATTAAAGAGCGACGCCTCTACAGCTCTTCCTCTCTGCCGTCATTTTGGTTGAGCGTGATGCCTGAATATCCTCAGTTATCTGACACCGCTGTAAAATGACTTCTTCATTCGCCTCAACTTATCTGTGCGAGGACGGGTTTTCAAAATTGACAGCTTTGAAAACAAAGTACCGAAATCGGCTAGTTAGTCTAATTAGCATACCCATACCTTTCATTTCAATTTTGTGCATACAGTAGAAAATGACATACTTAAACTTAATTATTTCATTTTATGACTTCTAGATTATAGTCCTAGTCATGGACTTTTCCAAAAGACATTTAGACACTTTTTGGTGAATTAAAAGCAAGCAGTAATGTAACTGAAATTAAAACAACATTACAGAAGCTTACATTTATTTTAAAGAAAATAAAGTAAAATTAAATAAGCAGTTAACTCAAGCAAAAACATTTCACGGTGTCAGTGTTGTCAGTTAGGATGTTCTAAAAAGGCTATTTCAAAATACTGCATAAACATCACGGTTGTTAACTTGTGATTTTTTTCTGCTCCTCTTCTTTGCATCGCTTCCTGCATTGTGCCCCTGATAATTTTCTTTTTTCACTAATTTTTTATAAATTATACTTTAAGAGCACATACATGGCAAAAATATTTTTGTAACTTCGTGCGCCATGCATAATTAATGTGTTATGATGATGTATTATAATTACGTCATGACGCAGAAATTGTTTAAATTAGTCCAACACGACATAATGTCAAATCTTATGATTTTTCGTTGAGGTCACTTTTATTTTATTCTAACATTATTTTAATCAGTTCGATGATCGATCAGTACTAAAATGATGATAACTCTCAGAAATTATTTTGCTTAATATATGGGTGTAGGAGCACACGATGGTCACAAGAGGGCGCACTTCTGACCAAAAAAAAAAAAAACTTTCGTGAGGCACCCCCATAGACTGTATAAAAACATGGACGTAGTGTTCGTGACGTCACCCATAGGTTTCCAAAGAGCGTTTTTGAAGCCTAAAGTAGGCGGAGCCGGCAGCGCGTCACCACGGGCGAGATAATCGAAAATGGGCAAAGAGGCGGGAGCTGGTTTCTGAAACCACGCCCACCTAGCTCGACGGTGGTGACAGCAGCGGCAATCCACCTGTCACTCAAGTGGCCACGCCCTTAATTATGCAGAACTTTAAGGCTTAATATAATTTAAACGGATGAGTTATAAAAAAAAAATCACTCCCCTCACAGTTGCCATAAAGGTCAAAATTAGCTATATAGACCAAAACCCCTTTTTGTACCAGGCTGTAAACATATTTTTTTCTGCTGTAAAGTTCTATGTCTATCTCTAGCGGCCAGTTGATGAATTGCAGTTTTAGTCACTTCCGTGTTGGTTTCACGAGAGAGACCGGAAGGTTGCCGCTTGGGCGCCCCCCAGTCATTTTGCTATGCCACGGCCGGCCCTGATAGTACTGCATATTATTTAGGGCAGATAGTATGCGAACGCTTGTAGAATGCAACCAACCAATGAAATGCAACATGTTTTACACGTAAAATAATACTTACACGTTATTTAGTTTACAAGTTACAACCTATAGGCTACTTTAAGTACTCTTGTTCAAAGTAGTTGCAATTTTCAGAAACATTCTTGATAATTTTTGGCCATGTTCCATAACTATCTAGCTAGGCTATCTGTCCTTTTATATAGTTTTATAAAACTCATAAAAGTTATTTTAAAAATCATAAAAGTTATACTTTAAAAAGTTATTCTATAATTGATTAATTACTTTTTTAAAGTAACTTACCCAACACTGACTGGATGTTGTTAGACCAAACTAAATAGGGTGAACCTAACCTCTGTTTACTGTAATGTTACTCTAGCTAAGTGTGCATGGGAAACCCATGGCATGACCAAACCAAAGCTACTATCAGGGAAAGTATTGTTGATCGGCTTATATCGATAGTAGTGGTCGTGACCTCTGACTAGAAATAATGTTGCTTTATTCAAGTGTGTACAGATCTATGGGGACTAAACACAATCACTTTTGGAACAAGCAGACATAGGAGCAGCCATCTAATAGTATTAGTCAGTTACCTCTGTCTAATAACCAAGGGCCAGATTACTAAACAGGACAAATTAGTGTTAGAGCGCAATTCCATGAAAGCGCAGATGGCAGGGGAAAATTCTGCGTGTGATTTACTGTCAATGCACACATTAAAGAACACAGACGCAGCCAGATCATTTCCATAATGACCAGCACAATCTACCAAAAGCAGCACAAATTACCGCCTGCTTTAAGGCATGCTTTATTGGGCGTTAAATAATGGTGCAAATACCAGTGATTTGACGAGCGCAAACATTAGTAAATCGCATTGCGTGATTCATTTTAATACTCTGTGTCTGAAAGGAAAACTCCTACAAATGCATATTCAGTAAGTCAACAATTTCCATCATGTACCATTATTACACATTTTGAGGAGATCAGGCTGAAAACATCTGGCATGTTAGACAGACAGGAACTCAAGAGTTTTTCAAGTGTGAAACCACACAAACACTAGATC